GGGGTAGTCTAGGACATTTTCAGGTGGGCAGTTACCGCTACAGGAGCCTTATAGAAGGTCTGTATAGCTTATAGAAGCCTTATATACCCAAAATTCCCCACCTGTGGATTCCTTTAAGGTAGGTCTACGTTTAGGGTTTTAGGGATTAGGTTTTGAGGGCTTGGGGTTTAGGATTTAGGGTTTTAGGCTTTAGGTGTTTGGGTTTAGGGTCTAAGGGTCAGGAACAAGTCCGAATAAGGTCTTCGCAAGGATTTCTGTAGGTTTAGTTCATCAGGGGTTTGACGGCCTGGGTTTTCAAACGAAGCTTGTACAGTGCTTCAAGGTGGTTTTAGCATGTATAAGGTTTTGTAGAACAGGGTTTTGGGGTAATATAGAAGCCTAAATAGTTACCAATACTACTGTTCGGGTTCCTTATACCATAAAGGGGCCCAAAACCCGATTCTAATTATTAGGGGCCCTACATTACACGTTTAATATAAGTATCGTATAAGGACTTAAATCGGTGTTCGGGCCTGGGGCAAAGGTTTGCTAGGTAGGCCACTATAGGACACCTTATACCTTACCGTAGAGTACGGCATGAGACGTCAGCCCAGGCCGTCTTTAACTCTGAACCTTAACTTTCAAGCCCCAAAACCACCCCAAAACACCCAAAACCCTCAAACCGATGATCCTGAATCTTAGCGATTCAGCCCGGCCAAGTGCTTGGCTCTTGGATGCGGTCCCCACTGTCGTGTGCAAAAACTCCTCGTTGGCCACGTGCCTCAACCCAGATGGACATATTCAAATCTCCGACAAACAAGCGACGCGGAGCTCGCAAGGCTCGTCAAACAGATCTGCCTCCGCAACCCTCGCTGGATATGGTCACTCCAGTCGCTCCAGGCCTTAATCCTGGTAGCGCATCAAGTCGTATCTCGATATCTTCAGTCTTCAGCTGTTGATGGACCCGCCGCATCCCAAATTGTGGGCCGGAGCTGCTCGAGGGTACGTCAGCATTGCAGCACCACTTGGCGATTGTTGGAGACTTGGGAGGACACATAGGCCGGTTTAGTGTTTAGGGTCTAGGCCACAATCCGGTCCTTGATTACGGTAATATAGGGGCCTTAGAAATTATAGAATATGGTTTGGGGTACGGTATATTTTACTACAGTTATAATAAGGAACCCCCAAAACCCGTGGGAGTGCGGAACCTTGACAGCCGTAAACTGCACCCCCGAAAAATCCAAATAGACAAAATACCTAAACCTTAAACCCTAAACTCGACACCCTAAACCCGAAACTCTGAACCCTAAGCCAAGACAGCAACGCCCACTTAAGTCAATGCGCAACTAGACCCTAAAGTTGCCCTAACGCCGCTTCGAGACTGCCATCCGAAACTCTCGAAGCCCAAAACAGGCCTCAGGGTTGAGGCTTAGGGATTAGGGTTGAGGCTTTAGGGCTTTTAGAGTTTAGGGTTCAGGGTTGAGAGTTTAGGGTTTTCAGGGTTTAGGGTTTTTAGGGTTTAGGGTTTTAGGATTTTGGGGTTTAGGGTTTAGGGAGCTTAAAGACGAAACCCAACTTTCAGCCCCAAGACCTAAGAAGACCTGAACACCACCATACCCCTAGGTCCAAAAACCCTGAGCCCGTAGGAACCTCCGTGGATCACCCAAGACCCCACTTAAGGGTACTACAGAGTACTATAATGGGGTCCTCTGTAAGGGGGGTTTAGGGTTTGGGATTTAGGATTTAGGGCTTAGGGTTTAGGAGCCTTAAGCCCTAAACCCTACTAAGACCTCCAAAGCCCCTTGCCAGTTCCTTTAATGTAGGGGCCTCAATAAGTACCTATGCCATTTTTGGGGGCTCCTATTATAAGTATAGTATAATATACCCCCAAAACCCTATTCTAATTATTAAGGCCCCTATAGTACTCCCGGCCTAAGGATATGCCCACGGCACTTGTTTGGCTGCAGCGCGCAGAGAAAGCCGGTGCAGCCTTGGACAAGGCGAAGAAAAGTGCAAACTTCATGGATCTTTTGCAAAGTAATGTTGGAGCTTGCCGCGGGCTAACCCTAAACACTAAACTTGCTAAGCACTCTTAGCCCGAAGCTTGTCTTAAACTCTAAACCACGAACCCATCTTGGACCTCAAATCGTTAGCCTTAGAACCCTATACAGGCTTGAGCATGGACGAATCGCTGAGAGCCGAACAGCTGCAAGACATTCCTGTTTTGTGCCCCCCAAACCCTGAACCCAACGCCCTAAGCCCTATCCTAGACTATGAACCTTCCAGTGCAAAGCACTCAAGGATCACATCCAACGCCCCTAGCAACCCTGAGCTCCCAACCCCCCCACCTCAAGTGCTTACGGACTACAGACGGCAACTTCTAGATTCAGGGAGCCCCAGAACCCTAGACCTTTAACACTGGTGGATCTCCCCCGAGTGCTTTTGGGTTGCTTAGGGTCCAAATACGCAACTAGCAGGGCTCCATGTCTCAGCAGCTGTTCTCAAGATTGTTTGTTGATGCCCTTTAACCCTTTAGTAGCGGAGTGGGTGCACGTTACGCTTTCTGGGTTCACATTCAAAACTGAAAGTTTGCACTTTTCGGCTTATGAACTCAGCAACTAAGTCTAGTATTTGGGTACATGGGCCTTAATCACGGTACAGGGTGTTATGGACTGCAGTGCCGTAAGGGGTTTGTGACGGCCATGTACCAGATGTACAAAGGCTTTAGGCTTGTACTTCGGGGTTTCGGAGTTTAGCTGGGCCCAGGAACTCTGCTTGTTTAAGAACTTGCGCAATAGATTATAATGGCGAACTTAGATAGAAGAAAAAGCAGCCGAAAACGGCAGGTATGTAGGGTCTTAGGATATCGGGGTCAGGAAATGCCTGGTCAGAAGCTGCTTGACAGGCAGACTTCACCGCCCTGATCGAATGCGCTGCTCAAAAGGCAGGTCTTGTTCTGTTTTGTCTAGTCGACTGTTTTGAAGTTTTCGGTGTTTTGCAGAAGTCAGTGGGTTTTCCATCAGTTTATAAGTTTATAAGGCTTTACGAAATGGTATGAGTCTTTATTTCGATGTTTGAGATGGTCTGTGCTTTGGGGTTGTTCTCAAGGCGCTTAGAGGGAGTTTTATGACGGCATGAAAAGGGGTTTACAGGGTTTAGGTTTACGGTTAAGGGTGTAGGGTATACCTCTAATTTCGGGATACCTCTATATCTTAGGTAAGGCAACCCTAGCGAGAGACCCTAAATCGTATACCTAAACCGTAAAGCCTGAACCCGAAGTTCGAATCCCTGAACCCTATGCCCTAGACCCGAAACCTCCCCTAAACCCTAAACCCTAAACCCCAAACCCCTAAACCCCAAGCCCTGAACACCAAACCCCACGCAAACCCCAAACCCCAAACCCTAAACCCCAAACCCGAAAATCCAATCCCTAAACCCGAAACCCTAAACCCCAAACCCTAAACCCTAAAGGGCGACATCTCGGCAGCGGAGCTTTGGTGTCAACGCGCGGAGGATGCCGGAGTTCAACCGGATGTCGTGGGGGCCAAAGTCTAAGGGTTTAGGGTTTAGGGTTTAGGGTTTAGCTTAAGAGGGTTGAGCTTTCTAAGGGGTTTACAGGGCTTACTTGGAGGCCCAGGGGACTTAGTAAGTCGGTGAAAAGTAGGGTTATAATTGGGGTAACTCCATTTACTCTACTTATAACCTACTTACTAAGTCCCCTGGGCCGCCAAGTAAGAGGGTTAAGAGGCTTAAGGGGCTTAGGGGGCTTAAGGGGCTTAAGGAGTTTGAGGGGTTTAGGTTTGAGGGCTTTGGGGGTGTTAGCTATCTTGACAAAGGGGTGGCACAATTTTGGGGCGTCTTATTGTGACGGTCATACTTAGATCCTGAAAAGCAGCAGTAGGGTGTGAGGGCTTCCGGGTCTGTAAGAGTTGCATCGTACAGAGAGGTATAAAGTGGCCTAGGCCTATGGTGGTTCTACAGAAACCCCAAACCCTAAACCCAAGACCCTTAACCCCAAGCTGTGCTGGCTCTGTTTTACATTAATATAGCATGGCCGGAGACCTCAACGGGTTTCGCGAAGGTCTTGGGCTTTAGGGGATTTAGGGTTGGGGGTGTAGGGTTTGGGGTTTAGGGTTTAGGGTTTAGGGTTTGGGGTTTGGGGTTTAGGGTTTGGGGTTTGGGGTTTAGGGTTTAGGGTTTGAGGTTTGGGGCTTTGGGGTGTAGCAACCCTAAACCCTAAAGCCCTAAAGCCCCAAAACCCTAAACCGTTTAAGGCTTGTGTGTATAATAGTGCGCCCTGGACACCTTGAACCCTGAAGTCGACCCGAAAGCTTAAACACCGAATCCTGAATCCACAATTTCAGAGGGTTCTAGGGTGTAGGGCTTCGGGTTTAGGGCTTTAGGGTTTTAGGGTTTAGGGTTTTAGGGTTTAGGGTTTTAGGGTTTTAGGGTTTAGGGTTTAGGGTTTAGGGTTCTAGATCGAAGTGTATCATTCCTTAGGGGTCAGTATTATGTCTACACTGTAAGCTACCTTTGGGAAGCCCTGTTCTAACCATTCAGGCGCCTAACGTTACGGTCCTAAGCAGAAGCCAAGACTCCTGGGCCCAGGATTTGGGGGCTAAGAAAGGAGCGCAAATGATTACCTATACTACTCTGTGGGGTGCCTTATGATACCGGGGTTAATATAGGAGCCTAAATAATCATTAATGCTCTTTTTTTGGGGTTCCTTATTAGAACTATATTATAATGAGCACCCCAAAACTTGCTCTAATTATTGACTATTGTGGGGGTGCCTTATTATAACTATAGTATGATGAGCCCCCAAACCCTGTTCTAATCTTTAAGGGCCCTACATTAGGGGTTAGAACCTACATCCCGCACCTGAAACGGCGCCTTCCATGTCACAGTGTTCGCAAACCGTTCTTGGGTAGTTCTCCAAAGTAGGGTCCCTTGTTAGGTCCCCAAAATCGTGCGGCGACTGCGTAAGTCGGTGAGAAGTGGGAGTTGTAATTGGGGTAATAACCGACTTAGAACAATGTCCCCTGCGCTTGCAGCCAGTAGCTTGTTCCTGCACCCCGAAACCCTTCCAAAAGCAGTGCCTGCGAAAGCTCGGTCCCCTAAACCCTAAACCCTAGACCCTAGACCCTAAACCCTAAACCCTAAACCCTAAACCCTAGACCCTAAACCCTAAACCCTAAACCCTGGACCCTAAACACTCAACCCTAAGCACCTAAACCGTTGCGGATAGCAAAAGAGGCGCTTAACAAGAAACCGTAAATGGCCCTAATCCCTAGACCCTGAACCCCTAAATGGCCCTAAGCTGGTCGTAGCCTTCTTTTGAAGATCTGCCCCAGGCCATTCTGACAGCCCTGAGGCCCGACCTATCGCGTTTTTGGAAGTCTCGAGTTCAGCCCTAGGGGGTCTTTATGGGTGTTTAGAGATGAGGGAGTCTTAGGGTCTTAAGGGTGGATGGCTCTTGGAGTTTGAACTTTAGGGTTTCGGGGTTTAGGGTTGTAAGGCTTAGGGGTTTAGGGTATAGGGTTCAGGGGTTCCGGGGTTTAGGGGTTGGGGGTTCAGGGTTTGCGATTTAGGGCTTAGGGATTTTAAAACCCCCAAACCCCTAACTCCTAACCTAAACCCCAAAACCCCCAAAACCTCTAATTCCTAACTCTAAACCCCGGAACCCTAAACCCGGGTTTAGGGCTTTAGGTCTTAGTATTGAGGGTTTGGGGCTTTGGGGGTTTAGCGTTTTGGGGGTTACGCCCTGCATCAGCGGACTGGTCCAGTGCCGCTGGTCAAAGCCAGGATGCTCTGCTGTCTACTCGTGTATTCCAACTTCGCTCCCGTGGAGTGGATGTACCTAATATAAGGGGCCTTACTGAATACCTATACTATCTTGGGGGTTCCTTATGATGAATATAGTATTACGGGCCCCGAAACCCTATTCTGATTATTAAGGCTCCCACATTCGCCTTCGACGATCTGGAAGCCACTTGCAGTCAAATTCGAGATCGCCTGCGCGCGCCCGGATCTGCCAGTTCGACAAATGCGCCTGATGTGCCACTGTTGATGGACAAAATTCTGCATGACCCAAATATAGTATAGTACCATAAATCCCATAGTTTAGGTATATAAGGTCATGCAGGATTTCCATCAGCCGTATGACACCGCCTTGACTCAAACAAAGACCAGCACTTTGACATCCGACCCGCCGGGCTGAGCGGCAACAGCTGCTGCTGCTTTTGTTGCTATACGGCGTAAGTGGTAAGCACCAGAGCATGTGAGGCGAACTCCGTGAATAGCTTGGTTCCGGGAGCCCCTGCGCAGCCTTTGCGTGACATGCTTTGATCTGTTGCGGTCGAAGTTGGATGACCGAGTCGACTACTTGAACGATAAGAATGTCAAACACAAGGGCAACACTTTTAACAAGGCCTTGCTCAATGCCTGCATAGCCATGCGAAGGTTCTCGCCAAAGGCCTTGGACACTTTGCGCAGGATTTAGGCTTTAGGTTTTACGGCTTCCGGGGTCTAGGGTTCTAGGGTTTGCCTCAACCCTATAAACCCGCAAGTTCGAGCTTCAGGGGTTCTGGCAAATTGGGGTTTTGGGATCTTTTGGAGTTGCCCATGATTGCAATCTAGTGGAGGGTCGAGTACTATGATCGAACTGAAGAGAATACAATAGAAGGCATGATAACACACTAGAATATACTAAGAAATAGGAACTTGAAAATAGAAATACGGGAAGTCCGGGAAGCCCTGTATTCATGTTTTTGGAAGGGGCCAATGTGTGGTTCGTTCAACAGAGGTGAGTTTTGCTGTTTTCAGGGGTGTTAATTGATACAGAAGCCTGAGTAATAACCCAGATTGTTCCTCAGGCTTCCTGTTGTAACCCTAAACCCCAACCCTAAACCCTACATCCTGAACCCTACCAAGTGCAAATCACTCCGGCCCCTGTATGTGTTGCGACTGTGGGAGAGTGCGGAGAAGTCGGTTTAGTGTTTGGGGTGTAGGGCCGGAACCTCCAGCTCCTAAGCTGTGAGGTCATCCCTTCCTGGTTTGTGCTGATCTTGTATCCTGGGTCAAAGTTATGGGTTGATGTCTTAACTCTGGACTGGTTATGTATATCCTGCCCTCATGTAGAGATGAAAGCAGACAGGGTTGTAGGTCCCAGCTAAGTGCGCGATCCCTAAACCCATGTCCACAAAGCCCAAGACTTGAGCCGGCCTCTGCAGGGCCTTCGGTATCTGCTGGCAGTTCCAAACCCCAAGAGCACCTTAAACCCTAAAAGCATGAACGGCCCCAAACTCTCCTGACTCTGAGCCTTCCCTAAACCCTATAAACCCCAAACCCCTAAACCCCTAAACCCTAAACCCTAAACCCTAAACCCTGAACCCTGAACCTTAAACCTGAACCCTAAACCCTGAACCCTAAACCCTAAACCCAAAAAAGAGCAGAAACCGAACCCCGAAGTCTTCCACAGGAAGGCGGCCGTGAACAAGAACGAAGCATCAGCCCCTCCCTCGGGTTTCTTAGTTCTCAAATTCCCAACCTTCGGGGTCGAGAGCTCAGCCCACGAGGTTTAAAATTTAGGGCTCAGGAAAAAGAGTTTCGGGTTTAGGGTTTAAATCATACAGTGAAACAGGCTACAAGAATAAGTCTTGCCGAGGGTAGTGTCCCCTAAGCTTCTTCGCTCCCGTCTTTATTTCAAGCTTGGTGTTCGAAGCTCTTCAATCAGATTCATACTATGAGGCCCCGCGTGCACCTCGAGCCAAAAAATGCCGTGGTGCCTTCAAGGTTTGCCTCACAGTAGCTGGCCAAAGACCATGCGACGATGGTAAGCCCTAAACCCTAAACCCTCAACCCTCAACCCTAAACCCTAAACCCTAAACCCTAAGCGCTGGTTGAGAAGAGGCCCTGTCATTACTTGAACACTGTGGGGGAGATTGGCTGTAGAGCAAGAATCCTGGTCACGCAAAGGTTCCTGTGGCGGCCTTAGTAGTTAGAACAGGGTTTGGTATATATTTTACTATAGCTATGATAAGGACCCCCCCCCGTCCCAAATAGTATAGGTAATTATTAAGGCCCCCTACATTTTGTGGATGGTGATGGATTGTGTGAGGTGATTTATCGGGGCGAGGTTGGCTGGGGAGATCGAGTGAGGCGATGGAGTGAGACGATCGAGTGAGGTGATCGAGTTAGGCGATCGATCCGCTGTTCTAATTTACTAATTCCGCTTAATTATTGATCTTCCATCGACAAAACTCCAGATTGTTAGGAGCGCAATCATCTTCTTGTGGGTATGTCCTTGTGCAAATTCCTTTGCAACTGCTGTCGCGCTTATAGGCTAAGTGCTGTGCAACTGCTCTGCAAATGCTGTAAGATGGGTGAGTGGGTGGGATGCGGATGGGATGCGAAGTGAGGATGCGCACGAAGATAGACGGACTGAAATCAGATTGACAGTTGACACACGGACTAAGGGATTACCAACTGACACACACACACACACATGTGGGAGCTTCCGAAAATTAGGGTACCTTATTTTGGGGTCCTTATAATAAGGATCCTACTATATAGGGTATTCTACTAGGGTCCCCTATTTTTGGAAATCCCCACATGTGCGAAGACCTGCAAGCGAACCGCTGGCAGAGGTTGAGAGACAAGACCTGCCTGATGACATCTCCATCGTAGGCAAGCTGCAGGGCTTTCGGGGCTACTGTAGGGGCCTTAATAATTAGAACAGGGTTTTGGGCTCCTGTATAGTATAAAAATAATATAAGGAACTTAAGGAATAATATAGGTACTTATTTAGGCTTCTATATTAAAGTCTGAGCTGCGAATGAGGCTTCGGGTTTGAGGGGGGTTGGTCTTGGACGTTTCGGATTCGGGATGCCCTAGCCGACCCTGAAGAATAAGCCCTAAACCCTAAACCCTAAACCCTAAACCCTAAACCCTAAACCCTAAACCCTAAACCTACTAAGCCCCCCCCTCAGCCCTCAGCCCTTGGGGATGCTGTACGATGTTGGCATTCCGGAGAACCAGACATGCAAAAACCTCTGCATCGCCTGCGATGTTCTGCCAATCTAGGGGTTTCCGAAAATTAGGGTATCCTATTTGGGGGTCCTTATAATACGGATCCTACTATTTAGGGTACTATATTAGGCTCCCCTATTTTCTGAAACCCCCATCTAGGGGCCTTCATAATTGGAGTAGGGTCCCTTGTTTAGGCTTCCTTTCAAGGACTTCGATCAGGGTTACTATAAAGGTGTACTGTACGAGTACCAACACTGGTTTAGCAAAGGAGCCTGAAGATTTCCAAAAGGGCTTTGGGTCACATAATATTTTACTCACAACCGTTCTCCTCAGCATCAGCGGCCGCTTCCCCTGGCTTATTGCCATCTGCTTTCTTCTCTTGTCGATGTGGTGCGCGATCATGCGGAGCTGCTCGGTGCTGAGCTAGTCGATGGTGTGGCCCCGCTTCATCTTGCTTCGACTTTCGAAGTAACGCTCCCGGCTTCATCGATAGGCTTCTCAGTCGTGACAGAGGCAAGGATCCGAAGATGAAGCAAAGGCCTGCATGCACGGAACCTAAGATACGATCCTTTGCCTCTTGGTTGGAATCTTGGTTTGTAAGTTCTGGCATTCATGTGCATACATACTAACATGCAAGTCAAGTGTGCGTTGTCCACGGGAGATCAAGAAGCTGGCAGCAGGGATACGTATTCGAGGCATGGCTCGGAGAAGTGGCACAAGAGTTCAAAAACCGAAATCCTCCACCCCAAACCCCTATAGAACCCCTCTAGAGAAACCCTTCAATGAACCCTTGTTTCGGCTGCGGAGCCGGAAGAGCTCGGCGGTTGGAGGCTTGAGGAAGCGAATTCATCGGCACGACATGCTTGAGCGGCTGGGGCGAGTCCATAGCCGATGATGTGATTGAAAGCAAGGACATGGCGAATGAAATCCGCCTTCGGCCAGAGTACCTCACACCTAGCTGAAGCCCTCTGTCCACTTTTGCAGATTTGGGATGCGCTTGCACAACACAAGTCGTCAGGTCTGTTGGGCTGCTTCTGTGGGCTGGAGTCCAAATTAAGGCGTATTGCGTGTTAGGACTTAGGATCTAGAATTCCGGCGTGCAGGAGCTAATTACGCGGTTGGCATTACAGGAACCCAGAACTCTCGACCACACGACCAACAACTCGACTCCATCCCAGCAGTTTCCCCAGCCTCCCCGAAAAAAGCAATCCCTTCCTAAACCGATTCCATAAGCCCCTATAAAGAGGCCCCTAAATCCTAAACGCAACACCCCGAACTCTTTTCTCGCCCTATGTAAACCTCCTAAGCCCCAAAACCCTGAATCCTAAACCCCAGCCGGGTCATCAGGGGCAGATTCCTTCCAGCAGCTCTCTGATGACTTCGAGCGGCGACCGCTTTCAGGTCGGATTCCTTTATCCACCAGGCTATGAGACCTGTATGTATAAGGCGTATAAGGGTGATCTGTAGGTCGGAAGCAGTGGGAAGACTAGTGCCAAGGGCACCTTTATAGTTTGCTGCAACGATTTCTTTCCCGGTTCCTTTGAGAGAATCCTGGCAGAGCTCCTACCAGGGATTCCTTCAACGGATTCCTTTGGGGATGCCTTTCAGGGGGCCTGCGAGGGTTCTGCAAGGCATCTTCCGATAGCGTCGTCTTCATGATGGTAATATAGGGGCCTGTAATTACCAACACTATTTCGGGGGGGTTCCTTAATATAATAACACTATAAAAGAGCCCTTATGAAGGCCTCTACATTATCCTGTGTAGTGTTTAGGGCCTAGGGCGTAGGGCAACTGCAAGAGCAGTGAGCATTGAGAGAAGTTGCGCTGCTATGGCGCCCCAAGAGTCCGTCTTTTCAGGATTTGAGTTCTTGCAGTGTCGGATACGAGGCTTTAGGGGTTTAGGGGTTTGGGGTTTAGGGTTCAAGAAATGCCTTGATGATGGAGAGGTCCTGCGCATGATTCAGTTGCGCTCTGAAGCCCGTTAACCTTAATCCCTGAACCTTATTATACCGTTTAGGGTTTAGGATTTAGTACCTATAGAGCCTATAAAGCCCCCCCTAAACCCTACATTACTTCAGGAAGGGGTGTCGGGGCTTGTGGCGCAGGTGGCGAGTCTGAAGAGATGTGTCTTAGTTGTAATTTAAGTGTTTCCCTAGCATGTTCAGTTTGTCTTGCCTCTTTGTCGTGCCTCTTAGTCTGCTTCTGTCGCTGCTATTTCTATTTCTCCTCAACCAGCTAAGTACTAAACCCTAAACCCTAAACCCTACATCCTAAACCCTAAACCTTAAACCCTAAACTCCTACCGCCGACATCTTACTTTAAAGCCAGTCCGCGAAGGTAAGGCCAGTGCCCGGCCCAAAAGCGCAGCTCTCAAACAGATCATTCCTTTCTATTAAAGGAAACTACAGGTCGGGGGTTTAGGGTTTAGGGTTTAGGGTTTAGGGTTTAGGTAGGCTATATAGGGCTAGGGTTTAGGGTTTAGGGTTTAGGGTTTAGTTCTATAAGGCTTCATACGGTATATAGACCTTCTATAAGGCTCCTATAACGGCAACTACCCACGTGAAAGTGTCCTAGATTCTAAGCGATCCACAGTGTGAGCTCTCTCTGGCCGTCCTGCTCTGAAAGAATAGTTATACCCGTCCGTAAGTCCTAAACCCTACCCCCCAAATCCTAACGGCTTCAACCCGTGGTACGACCTAATATAGGGGCCTTAATCATTACAATAGGGTTGGGATATACTATACTATCATGATAATAAGGACCCCCCCAAAACCCTATTCGAATGACTAAGGCCCCTACAGTAAACCAGGCGCTATTGTAAACTGCACATGCCCTGAAACCCTAAACCCTAAACCCTAAACTCTATAAACCCTAAACCCTAAACCCTAAACCTTAAACGCCCGAAGCCCGTCACCGTTCCATCCTCTGGGAGGCTCCGAGGACTCTGCCAGGTTCTGGCTGGAGAAGCTGAAGGCATCCACCCCAAAGGGCGTGCAGGTTTCAGGTTTACTGTAGGTTTTTTGGCCAGTTTTGGCCTAAATAAATCCTAAACCGCCAAACCATCAGCATCGAGAGCTTGATTGGTTCGGTGTTCCGGGTTTTAAGAGGTTTTTGGATGGGAGAGAGTCGTGAGTAGGCTCGCATGTTTTTCCTTTCGAGTTTGGGGTTTAGGGTTCAGCGTGTACGGGTTTCAGGAGTGTAGCCACATGCCGAATACGAGTCCGTTGCCCCTAGCACTATCGTCGTAAGCATCACAGTCGCAATAAGTTTAGCCTTCTGTATCGTCGTCATTGTGCTCACCATCTTCTGCAGGGTGACCATGGTCGTCATCGTTGCCGTCTTGAACACCTCATCGTCAACACCTCATCGTCTGCATCATCGCCGGCATAAGAGTGCTCATCCTGATCGTCGAACGACACTAATTTTCCCCCACGACGGCATCAGCACCAGCATCACCAGGATCAGGGTTCATGCTCTCAGGGATAGAACGACCACAACTACTTTCGAAAGGTTTAGGATTGGCATCAAGGCTACCATGTTCCCAGGGCGGTCGCTTATGGCTGAAGGCACATGACGCAATCACAAGATTGTTGCAGATTTCCCCCGCGGTGTAAACCGTAAAAGGCTTTTTCCATCCCCTTCTGAAGCCACTGTAGAACCCCTAAACCCTAAACTAGGCCCTAAACCCACTGTAGACCCGATATCAACCGTAATACAGCACGTATGACGTATGTGACCCTCTCAAACCGGTGTCATCGCCTCAAAAGACCCCAAGGTCCCACGGTGGCTGACCCTGAACCCTAAGACCCTGTAAGGCGCTTAGTTTAGGGTTTTGGGTTTAG